TATTGAGGTTGCAATTTATATTTTCTGGTAATTATTGATGTTGAGAATCTTTTTATATAATTTATGTAATAGCTATTAGGATATCCATTTTTGTGACATGTGTTCAAGTCTTCTGCACATATTTTTTTTTTTTCAGTTGCTTCATCTTTTTTGTCTTTTAGAGCGCCAAAAGTTCTTTGTATATTTTGGGTAGACATGTTCAAATGTCTTTTCCTACTCTGGCTTGCCTTTTTTATTAATTGTGACCGAAAAGTGAACAGAAGTTCTTAATTTTAATGTAGTTCAGTTTAGCCATCTTTTCCTTTATTGTTAATATTTTTGTTTTATTTGAATTTTTCTATACTAAGTTTATGAAGGTAATCTTGTATATTAAGGATTGTGGTCCTCTATTTGCTTGGGATTTACCTATAGATCAGTTTGGAGAAATGACATTTGAACAGTTTAATCACAGATGTGATATATTTCTCAGTTGGTTTAGCGCTTAATTTTTCTCAGGAAAACTTTGCATTTTTAAAGTACATCTCTTGGTACACATTTTGTTAAATTTATCCCTTTGCATAATTTATTTTTTAATGCTATTGTGAAAGGTGTTTAAAATTAATTTTGATTTGTATGTAGTATGTAGACATACACTTGGTTTTTGTGTAATGGGCCTATATCTTACTGCCTTGCTAAATTCAGTTATTCTAATTGCCTAGTTTGTACATTCCTTAGGATTTTCTACATTTATGATCATGATAGTTTGACTAAAATGTTTTACTTCTTTTCAATCTGTATGTAATCTCTTAAATTGTGGTAAAATATACATAATAATTTACTATCTTAACAATTTTTTACATTCATGGGCATTAAATAGAAATTGTTATGCAACTAGTACCACCATCCACCTCCAAAACTTTTTAGTCATTTCAAACTGAAGTGCTATGGTCATTAAACTCCCCTTTTCTCATCCCCGCCCCCCCCCCGCATTCCTGCCAACCACCAATCAATTTTCTGAAACTATATTAGGTACCTCATATAAGTGAATTTTTTAATTGACTGATAATATTGTGCATCTGTATGGGTAAACTATGATATTTTGATATCTTTATACATGTGTTGATTAACTCAAGTTAATTAGATTATCCATTGTCTCAAACATTTCTCGTTTCTTTGTGATGACAGTATTTAGGATATTTCTTCTAGCTCCTTTGGATTATATAACACTGTAGTGTTAGGTATTGTTAGAGTTTGGATATAAGCTGTCCCCCCAAAAGCTCACGTGTGAGACAATTCAAGAAGGTTTGGAGGAGAAATGACTGGGCCATAACCTTAACATAATCAGTGAACTAATCCCTCATGGGATTAACTGAGTAGCACTAGGGGCAGGTGGGGTGTGACTATAGGGTATGTGTTTTTTATCTGGCAAGTGGAGACCTTTCTCTCTACTTTCTGATCATCATGTGAGCTGCTTCCTTCGACCAAATTTTCCTACCATGATGTTCAGCCTCACTTTGAGCCCCAAGGAATGGCGCCAGCCTTCTATGGACTAAAACCTCTGAAACCATGATCCCTTATATAAGCTTTTCCTCCTTTATGGTTGTTGTGGTTGAGTCCGTTCATCACAGTGGTTAAAAAGCTGACTAAAACAGATATAATCATCCTCTATGCATACAACATCAACACTTTATTCCTTTCTGGCTATGAGTTTGTACCCATTAAGCAATCTTTCTCTACATCCTGTATCTCTTTTCTCTTCCTTTCATGACCTCAGGTAAACATTATTCTGTTTAGTATTCTGTAAGCTCAGCTTTTTAAGATTTCATATTATGAGTGAGATCACATGATCTTTCTCTGTCTAGCTTGTTTTACTTAACATGCTCTCTAGTTTCATCCATGTTGGCAGGAAATGACAAGATTTTGTACTTTTTCATGGCTGAAAAATAGTCTATTGTGTATATATGCCACATTTTCCATACCTGTTCATCTGTTAAAATCCCCTACTATTTTTAATTTTTTTTGTAGATTGATAGAATGCCCTTATTTGTTTATTTTTATATATAAGGTTCTAAGAATCAAACCCAGTGCCACACACATGCTAGGCAAGTGCTCTGCCACTAAGCTACAGCCTCAGCCCAAAGTCCCCTACTACTTTTGTATTGTAGATTATCTCTCCCTTTAGATGTTTTAGTATTTGCTTTATATATTAATGTGCATCATATTAGGTGCCTATATATTTACAATTGTCTTCTTGCTATATTAACCCCCTTATCATTATACAATATTATTATTTATTTCCTTCACAGTTTTTGGTTAGTCTATTTTGTCTGATATAACTATAGCTATTTCTGCTATTTTTTTTTGGGGGGGGGTGCTGGGGATTTACCCTAGGGTCATGCCTGCCAGGCCAGTGTTCTACCATTAAGCTACTACTCTACTCTTGCTCATTTTCAGTTTCCATTTGCATGGAATTGTTTTTTCTATCATTTCTTCTGTCATTGTATGTATGTGTCTGTAGGTGAAGTGAGTTTCTTTTAGGCAGCATATATCTGGATATATATTTTTTAAAATCCATTCAGTGACTTTGTCCTTAAATTGAAGAAATTCAATTCACTTACATTCAAGATAAATTAATGATAAATAAGGACTTACTACTGTAGATTGGGCTTCCTTCTCACAGCTTCATATATCACCTTCTCAGGGACTGCCACAGAGATTCTAACCCTTCTCTGCCTGCCTGGCCTCTCAGGCCTGTCTTTGAAATCTTGGTGGAAGGAGTTGAGGGTATATCTTAGTGCTAGAGTGCTTGCCTAGCATGCATGAGGCCCTGGGTTCAATCCTCAGCACCACATAAAAATAAAATAAATACCATAAAAGTATTGTGTCCATCTACAACTAAATAATAATAATAATAGTAATAATAATAATAATAAAAGAAATCTTGGTGGAAGCCTCCATGAGCCCCTCACTCTAGTATCCTGCATTTCTGCAGAACTAGCACCACATGGATGATACTAAGGTCAGCCACCAGCTGGAGCAGTATTTAGGCCTCCTTGACCATGGCCACAGCAGTCTCTGAGTGCCTGGGTAATTGAGCATGGTGAAATGAATCCTGAGGAAGGAATTTTCTAGGCAACCCTATTTGAGCACAGTGCCCCAATTTTTACTAAATAAATTTTTATTTTTATCTCCATGAGCCTGTGATGGGTGTAGTTTTGTGGATTCTGACATATCTTGAAAGATATCTTTCCTAGTTTTTGTGCCAAGTACTTAGCTTCTCTTTAGCGGTGGTAATCTCTTCAACATCCACAGCTTCTTTGACTCTAATCTTACATGTGCTTTTTATGCCAAAATCCAAGTTTAAAAAAATCTCTTCTGTTCTCTGTTCCCAATTATCACAGTAAACCTGGCAAAAAGCGGCTAGTAATACTCATGCCACCATCTGAATATTGTGTTGCCTTGAAATTTTTCTGCCAGTTTAATTAGTCCATCACCTTTAATTTAGCCTCACAGAAAGTCTCAAGTCATGGGCAAAACTTTGTGGCCAGAATGTAACACTAATGACCTCTAGTCCAATTCCCAATAGAATCCTTTCCATTCTAAAAATTCAAGGACAGTCCTTATTGTCTGTATTCCTATTGGCATTCTGATCTTCTGACTTCCCACCAGAATTGCCCATTAAGAAGGGAATGGAGGGTTAATTCAAATAGATTACCAAAACCTTTTCCCATATGTTTTTATCTGATTTTTATCTATACCCAGAGAAGTATCTTAATACCTGCAAATGACTTCTGGAATTTTCTATGTCTTTTGTCTCTCAAAATTGGTTTTCTATATTTTGGAGCTATTTATTACATTGCTACAAATTCCTGTTGAATTTTTTTTAAATCTTTTTTTAAAAAATTTTAATATTTAGGGGCTGGGTATGTGGCTCAAGCGGTAGCGCGCTCGCCTGGCATGCGTGCGCCCCGGGTTCGATCCTCAGCACCACATACCAACAAAGATGTTGTGTCCGCCAAGAACTAAGAAAAAATAAATAAATGTTAAAATTCTCTCTCTCTGTCCCCTCTCTCTCTCTCACTCTCTCTTTAAAAAAAAATTTTTTTAATATTTATTTTTTAGTGGACACAACATCTTAGTTTGTGGTGCTGAGGATCGAACCTGGGGCTGCACGCATGCCAGGCGAGCGTGCTACCGCTTGAGCCACATCCCCAGCCCCTCCTGTTGAATTTTATATTAAATCCATGCTCTGTGTTTTTTACTGCTTTATCTTTTATCGTATTATATGGGTTTCTATAGATCTCCTTTGTAAATTATAATTTGAGGAATTCCAAATATTTTGTATTACAGGTTACTGCCTTTTAATTAAGAGTTAATCCTGATCCACAGGAACATATTAAGATATTTTAGTCTGTGTGGAGGGCCATTAGGTGTATGTCTTAATATGGGACAAGGTATTCTTTAGCAGGGTACCTTTCTCACTTGAGGCAATTACAAAGTTTCAAGCTAGGTTTCTCAGATAGGAGAGACCTGGGCTTTTTCACTGTAAAGCATACTGCCAACCATCCAAGTCCCACTAGAAATACTCATTTCAAACCCCCAAGTTTTGAGACTGGGTGTGTGGCTCAATGGTAGAGTGTTCACAGAGCATATGTAAGGCACTAGGTTGGATTCAGAGCACCACATATAAATTAATTAAGTAAAGGTCCATCTACAACTGAAAATAAAAACAAAGTTTTCTCCTTTACTATTATTGCTCTACCATGTCCCACAAGAGTGTCAGGAAATGAATGTGCTTAACTCTCATTGTGATTCTGCACTGCCCACAATATTTTGATCTTCAGTGAGGTTTTTGCTGTGGTAAAACAAAGAAGAGATTCTTTCAGGTCCATCATGATAAGCTTGTGATCTGAGAAAGTGGGGTCTTGGACATCATCATCAGTAGAGTTAAATCCAGCTCCCCAACCCCCAGTCCTTGAGGCACTTATGGACATCATCCCAGTAGTCACTTGGTCCCCCTGCACACTTGCAACAATGGGGCACTTCATCACAATCAACAGTGAGTGGTAATTTATGTAATTGTGATGCTACTCTGAGCTCATTCCCCATTGGGCGGGAGTTCACCAGTGTGTCTCAGGCCACGCACATGTGCACACCAATCCCAGATGATTATTTGCCTATCTCTCTCTCCCCCTCTCTCAGAAGCAGTCCTGGTACCAGATGCTGTATCTGTCAAGATCCAGTCCAGAACAGAGAAACCCACCAAGAGACATTACAATAGGAAGTTTTTGAAAAGGTATTAGAGGACTGAAATGATTAGAAGAGAACACTGAGGTACAGGAGGTGGGATTTCTCAAAAGGAGCTAGCTACTTCTCCTAAGAAAGGGGAAGAGGTTGGGATTATGGTAACCTAGATGCTTTTATAATGGGCCTCAGAGATCTGGACTTGAGATGAGGATAGGTGGTGCTGGTCATTTGGGAACAAAGGAAAGGTGCAACTGATAGCTGGACCTCTTAGAAAAGGATGCTGAGGTAGTGGTGGTACCATAGGGGCTTGGGAAAAGGTCCTCCAAAAGTGAGGACTCAGATCTGAGGGAGGGTGCTCCCAACTTGCACTTGGCATCAAGGCTCTTTGTGTCATGGTCTGGTAGAGCTGGTAGTGGAACATCTGAGGAAGGGACACTGTCAGGCTGTGTTGGTTGCCCAGGGTCCTGGAATGTCCTGGTATGACTAGATCTCAAGACTTCTGAGCAGGGAGCACTGTCTGCTGGTCTTGTACCTTGGAAGGGACTTGATGAAGCTTTTTCTGTTTCTGTATCAACCAAATGTCACCACCAGAGCAAAGAACCATGGCTGTGGTATGCAGACAGTACCCACGCCCCCAAAAGTAGCATTCCTAAAAGTTTTTGCCTTTTTTTTTTTTGTATTTTTCTCCTTCTAGTGCTCTTCTAGACAAAACTCTATAGGAATCCTATTCACAACGAGGAAACACAATGTTGAGAATATTATGTGGAGCTAAACAGTCCTGCCATAAATTTAGGTTTGTAGTTCAGAACACAGTTCATGGGGAGCATAAAAACTCTTATTTTTGTGTGTGTGTCTGTGTGTCAGGTTAACAAGTTACATTTATATGTGTGCAATTGACTGATATCTTCTACTCTATTGTGTTTCATTTACTGAAATCTTCCTGAATTGATTTCATGACCTAGGAAGGTTTGTGATCCTTGTTTGAGAAATGTTGAAATAGGTCATTTGTAAAAGGAGACATGCCACAATGGGCATCTTGAGGAGTCTGAAGTAGCTCTTTGAAGTTGACAAAAGAGTTAATGATTGAGGCAGAAGGAGAATCTCTTGGTGTTTGGAGGTTTAGTCATGTCAGCAGAAGGACTGTGCAGTGGACACCACTTCATGTAATTTGTGGGAATGCAGCATTCCTTATTGCTGATGGCAAAGACTTGCCTATCACAAACATTCCTCACTATAAACTTTTCTATAAACCTTGTATTTTTGACAATTGTTAGGATGTTGTTATCTTCTCTCTGAGTATTTTTCATAATCCTATCCCACTTTACCCATTTCCAGTTTATTATCTAAAACTCTAATAAATACCGAGGATACGATGAAGAGAAAGATGGAAAGGACATCTGGTGAATGGAGTGCATCTTTCTCAGAAATGCTTTGTGTCAGAGGTATTTTCTAGTGACTTTGGTTTCCTCTGTGGTACTCATTAGCCACTGATTAGTTTTGGAATGCTACCTAGATGGATGCATGGTTTTGTTGACTTCCAGTTCCAAGAGTATTGCTCATGCTCTGTGCTGCTGATCCCAGTTACATCCTTACTTAGGAAATTTAAGCCCACAGTAGGTGATAACAATGTGGCTCTAAGTTTGTTTTAACTTTGATCTCAAAGACAAGGCAGATTATTAATTTGGCATTTAGGTGAAAATCAGTAAATGACCCAGATTAGCTTTTTCCTGAGAGGAAGTTTGTTTCCAGTAGTAGTGAGGTTTTCAAATCCACTCATATTGATCTTATGAGCTTTTTAATGAACTCTAGGCTGAATCTTCTTGATCAGCATTCTTTGGAAAGTTGACATTGAATAGGATCAATCCAGGTAACTCAGCAGCCATTGGAAAACTAGAATTGAGTTCATATTGACATGACCACAGTGAGCCCCTCAGGATTTAGAACATGAGGCTGGTGGGCTGTTTGGGTTTTTGAGAAGGCTATGTCTGCAAGCTATGGTTGGAGGCAGCTGGACTGTATGCCCTGCCCCTAATAACTTACCTCAACCCATTACCTCATCCGTTTCCCTTCTTTTATTTTGAATATCGTCAATTGGAGGAGATCGACTACTACTTCTGAGCCCTTTAAGTGGGTCTTTTGGCTGTAAACTTAGCATTGGGACTACATAAGATGTCTGGAATGGGGTTGGGTAGGAGCAGTGTAAAAGCAAACTGCATGAATAAAGTAACCACGAATGATGGATTTCGTATGGGTCATTCACATGTTTGCTGACAGTGTGGAGTGCCCGTAGGTTTTTGGGTAGCAGAGGAATTTTTGCGTAAGATATATCTTTTCAAACTGGAAAACTTATTATTATAATTTTACATATTTAAAGAAGAGTGTATAGTGCTGGGGATTCGCCTAGCATGTGCAGGTATTGGGTTCCTTTCCCAGTATCATAACAGAAACCATCTGCCTAGTATGTAATCTGATATCCAGGTTTGACAATTATCTGCCTATGTCAAATCTTACCTATTTTTCTGGGAGCGTACACACACACACACACACACACACACACACACACACACACACACGTCTATGTGTGTGTGTATTTATATTAGAATATGCAAATCCCATGCATGTTATTGCTTCAAATCTGGTCCCAATTCAAGAATCACTTTAGCCTCCCTTTCTTCTTTTTGTCTCCCATCTTTCCTGTTCCACTGACTCCAATCCAGCCCTTTTTATTTTTCACTTTCAGTACTGCAGCTCTGATGGCCCAACTCCCAGGATACAGATCCATAAAGATCAGCCCAGCACTCTGAACAGCTCAGAGGGAGGAGCCTGACCAGAAGTTCCTCATGCTCTTGCCTTGTTCTTTTTCTCTGGACAGGTGGCTCCTTAATGACAGATCCTTAATGACAGATGCATAATGGCTGTGGTTGAGACTCTGATGCACATCAGGGTCACTTTTCTACCGCTCTGGCTTGGGATATCTCTGTCCATTCCTGGCCTTTCTCAGGCCAGTCCCTCCCAGCATTTCACCTCCCCAGAAGTGGTGATCCCCTTGAAGGTTATCAGCAGGGACAAAAGTGCAGAGGCTCTAGGTTGGCTCTCCTATAGTCTACGGTTCGGAGGCCAAAGACATATTGTCCACATGAAGGCCAAGAAGCTGTTAGTTTCTCCACACCTCCCAGTGTTCACTTACACAGAGCAGCATGTCCTCCATCAGGATCAGCCCTTTGTCCAGGATGACTGCTACTATCATGGTTTTGTGGA